GTATATGTCCTGACCAGGGCCCTGACCAGGAAGGAGCCTACAAATGAGGTATGTGCCCTTGACCAAAATAGAACCCAGGACCCTTTGGTCCGCAGGCTGAAGCTATATCCACTGAGTCAAACCACCCAGGGCCATTTGTCAATTTTGTACTGTCCTCCATCTAAGAATAGTTTGTACAATTTTTAAGCGGTTAGAAAAACTGCCCTCAACGACTGTCATTGAAATAAATGACTTTGGAAACTAACTTTTGCTATGGGCTTGATAATATTTCTCAATGAATTAAACCTAAAGCTATAAGGCAAACAGCACTTACACACCAAACTTATACTGTAGTAAAGTCATCCTAACAGCTAACATTGTTTGAATCACAAGTGATCTAAAGCTGTGTTATATACTTGCTGTGCTGTTACTAACCAATTTGCAGTACATACATTTTCTGAATTCAAACTAGATTCCAACAGCGTCTTTCAGACATGGGTGTAAGTAAAAAGAAAATGTCCATATTTCAAAAACCCATTTAACTGTGCAATTGAGGAGCTCCCACCTAAACTTCAGTGGAAAGCAATTAACCTGAAACATATTGACATGCTAAATGGTAAATATTGAGAATAATTTAATAGAATTGTATAAATGCCTTGCAATGAATATGCTCTATTAAAACCCTATGCTCATGGGCTGGTATCAGTATTTAGCAACACCTATGACAGAAAACTTCAGACATTTTCAAAGATAAAATACATAACATCTCACTTAAAATCACATGAGCTGAGCCAGATATTTAAGCATGAGCTACCTGTAACTCCAGTCATTGCTCCATCTCCTTCATAAACCTTTACTTTTCTTGGCTGGAAAAAAAAATCACATTAATAGATGAGCATTTGCTATTGATTTTGATGATAGAAAACACTAACTTTAACTCCAATTAAGGGAAATGATATCCCTCCAAAATCTACCTTCTGTTTAATCATATTAGCATTATAAAAAGACTAGAGGCCCAGTGCACAAAATTCATGCACTTGGGGAGTCCTCAGCCTGGCCTGTGCCCTCTTGCAGTTTGGGAGACCTCAGGAGATGTCTGACTGCCAGCTTAGCACTCACGCTGCTGCACTTGCTAAGCCCTTAAGGTTTCTGGCTGAGTGGTGCTCCCCCTGTGGAAGTGCACTGACCACCGGGGGGCAGCTTCTACATTGAGCATCTGCCCCCCTGGTGGTCAGTACACCACTTAGGGACTGGTCATTCTGCCATTCAGTCGATTTGCTTATTAGCCTTTTATTATATAAGACTAGAGGCCCGGTGCATGAAATTTGTGCACAAAGGGGGCTGTCCCTAAGCCCAGTCTGCACCCTCTCCAATCTGGGACCCCTCAGGGGATGTCCAACTGCCGGTTTAGGCCTGATCCCACCAGACATCCCTCTCACAATCCAGGACTATTGGCTTAGGACTCTCTGTCCCTCATGAACTTGTATGACTTTTTCCTTTACTAGATTAGGGAAGTTTTCTGCCATTATTTCTTCAACCACTTTCTCTATCCCTTTCTCCCTTTCTGCCTCTTCTAGCACACTTGCTATTCAAATATTGTTACATTTCATGGTGTCCCACAGCTCCCTTAAGCTCTCCTCCTGATATATATATATATATATATATATATATATATATATATATATATATATAGTCTCCCTCCTTTTTTATTCTGATTGTGTGATACTTTCAACTCTGTCTTCTAATTCACTGATTCGATCCTCAACTTCCCCTAATTTTGCTGTAGATTCCTTCCAATGTTTTTATTTGTGCTATTTCATTATTTATTTGTTTCCATAGTTATTATATATTTTTTCTCATGCTGTTGAGTATGTTTACTATCATTATTCTGAACTCTATATCAGGTAAGTTTATTTCCATTTCATATATCGCTTCTTCTGAATAATTCTTTTGTTCTTTCATTTGGGGTTTTTCTTTGCCTCCTCATTTTGGCTCCATTTAGATTTGTGACTATCTATAAAGTTCATTCAATCATTTAACAGGCATTCATTAATGTGTACTCTTTAGACACTTATAGGTACAATTACAGTATAAATTTAAATATGTCATCTACCCTTGGGGAGCTTCAATGTAATAGGGAAGATAAAACTTAGATTATACCTCTATCCCTAGGTATGAAGTCTCACCTCAAATACATGAGGGAGGAGTCTCCAAGGAAAGAAAAAATTGAAGTGTTAAATATGAAAGACAGCTGCTAGGCAGACAGAATTATCAGACATTCACCACACTTTTCCAACTCTATACGTAAATAAAGTCCATTTTTTGCTTGACCTAATTAAAATGGATGTGTGCTTTGCAATGTAAAGACCCTTGGCCAATCTGGATGGCAAAAACTGAGACAAGCAATTTAGTTAAAGGGACTAGAATAGCATAGACACAGGCAGAAACAAGCACCAACCATCTGGGGAAAAGAATGAATAAGGATGGCAATACAACTTGGTCAGATTATGGAAAGTCTTGAACGTCTGTTTATGGACTGTGCAATTTTTTTAGAGTTGCATTACTTCAATTACTCTCAGATCTTTGAGAAACTGAAGGCAATGTTTTCTCCCCTCTGATGTACAAGTATATTTTGAAGTAGGTCTGCCTTCAAATATTCCAGTGCAATAACAACATTTTTGTAACATTACCTTTTTGTAACATTACATTAGCATATTAATAATTGCACCTATCTGTATTCATCAGAGGATGTTCCTAATGCCTTTAATTAGTAACAATGCCAGTCGTGACTTCAGTGTTTAGGGAATTTCAGCTGCATGCTTGCCTCCTTCCTCCCATCCACTTGCCAAAGACATCATGTTGAATAAAGATGGGGTTGAATCTTGTCAAACCATGAGTGAGGATACTAACTTGCCTAATTGATAACATTCTGAAAGCCACTAAATTCTGCCATACTATATAAAAATCCATTTCTAATAACAGATATGGGGAGCAAATGGAGCTTTTTAAGTAGGCACCATTTCTAATTATTTCTGAAAAACTGAGATTCCTCACGAAGATAGGTAGTATAAAAAATTAATTTATGGACAAATAAATTTGTAAAATACTAGTTAAAATGAATTTAAAATACAAATGAAGGGTTTCCTTTTGTAAAAGTATTATAAAAAATTTTAACGTTATTACAAATTATGTCTTCCTAAGATGATGATGAGACATACATCACTTTCAAATTTACTGACTTAACTTTTTTTTTCAAAGGAGTATTTTGTATTTCTAGTGGAAGTTCTATGGACAATGGGAAACACTCAGTAGAAATTATGTGATCAGAAACATGCCTTCAATGACTCATTAGTCTGGATGCTATATATATTTAAAAGCAAACAAAACAGGCTAAATGTCCAGGTAAATATAGTATAGGTGTTGTGATTATAGAAACACTAGAGGCCTGGTGCACAAAATTTGTGCATGGATAAGGTCTCTAGGCCTTTCTGGTGATCAGGGCCAATCTGTGGGGTGACCAGCAGGGCAATTGTGGGGCCCCTACTGGCACCCATGTTGGCCAGCATGGCACCACCCACTTGGTGGTCCTGTCCTGCCACCACCACCAATGCCGGTAGCTTCCCTCTGCAGGGTGACTGGCACCGTGTTGGAGGGCCTGAGACCTGCAGGCTGGGGCAGTTCCTGTGTTGAGTGCCTTCCCTCTGGTGGTCAGTATTATCAAAACTTTTAACATGTTATTACAAATTATGTCTCTCTAAGATGATGTATTATCAAATTTTTTAACATGTTATTACAAATTATGTCTCCCTAAGAGACCCCATGCCAGGACAGAAATGAAGTCACTCCCACTGGGTCCTCCCTTACTCATGCACTTTTATTCCTTCATTCACAAATCTCAGCCTTTCTCTGAAGCTGAAGAACATGCCTCAAAGGCATATCTAATGCTGTATCCTTTATCACCCATTGGGACAATATGCCTATTGCCCCAGCTCAAGTAATAGCATCCTCTTCCACTCTCAAGGATCCTAGTTTGCACAGTAAATATGGTCATCTTACATATTATAAATTATTTTTCTCTTTCCCCCTAATTCCCCATTTCTAAGTTTAATCATTCATTTTTTAGAATATATAATAGAATTATAGATTAAACGGGAAAGAATTGAAGTCAGCTAGTCCTATTTACACTTGACTGGATTTAGCCTTTGTCTGAATGTTGGGCAGTTAATTCATTACCATATGATGTAGTATTTTCCTAATTTATCTCTAAGTTTTATGAAAATCTTTTATCTTTAGCCTTAATTTTATTATTCTTTCCCAGTCTAAAACTCTCCACTTAATAATTTTGGGGTTCCTTTGTCAATCATGGGTTATCATAATGCCCAGCTTAAGGTATTTTTCATCCATACTAATAATAAAGGAATATGCAAATTGGCCAGAATGTTGTCATATAATGACCAATCAGGATGGGGGCAGGACCAGCAGAGAGCTCTCTGCATGCCTGTACCAGGGGTCTGAAGGGTGGGAGAGGGAGGGAGAGCAGATAGGCAGTTAGAGGGATCAGGCTGACAGGGGAGCAGTTAAGGCCATCAGGCAGGCAGGCAAGGGGTTAGGAGCCAGTGGTTTCTGATTGCAAGAGGAATCCCAGTTTGGGAGAGGGTGCAGGCTGGGCTGAGGAACACCCTTCCCCACCCATGCATGAATTTCATGCACCAGGCCTCTAGTGTATTATAAATGAACATCTTTTTAGATATCTAGAAGAGTATGTTATATACTATCCTTGGGAGAATTGAGAAAATAGTTTTTCAAATCATATTTGGGTTGCATGGGTCAAATGAGAACCCTAGGTTGAAAGGCTTAGATCTATCATTTAATAGCTTCATCTACCATACTAGTTCTATCATTTACTAGAAAGTTTACTTCATCTCTTTTTGCCCCCGTTTCTCAGCAAAAAGGAAAAAAAAAAGTATAATACCTCTTATGGGCTGTTGTGAGAATTAAATGACATATATAAAAGCAGAGGCCTTATCACAACTTTATTCTAAGTGCCTAGCACAGGTAGTAGCAAGCATAGAATTAAATTCTCAATGAACATCTGAATAAACATTAATAAAAGCCCTTGGCACACTACCTTGCACATAGCACTCAATAAAAGGCAGCTATTACTATTCTCTCATTCTTCCAGTGACCTGGTTTTCTGACCTTACTATATTAATTACCCTCTTATGGAAGCTCCCTGGTTTATCAGTATTTTCCTTAAGATGTAGTTCTAACAATTCAGGTCTGTGTGGTGTGTGGTAATTTAGCTGTTTGAAGGATGCACTGGGAAAAAGCTAGTCTATTTGCTTGCATAAAGAGTTGACTCTTAGAAAAACTTTCTCCCAATACCATCCTTTAAACTTTGAGAAATGTATGGTTAGGAAGTAAAACTATTAGCCAATAAGGAGTAATCAGCCAAATAAGAGAACACCATAGTGCAATGTTAGGGAAAGCCATCACGACCAGTGCTTATTATCACTGCACCTAATGAACAGTGCAGATTACCTGATTCATTAGGCTCTCCATCTAGTATACTCCTCCATGGCAAGACTACATCAAGTTCATCCATATGCTTATCAAAGAGGCCTCCATATATTGTGGGATGGTTGAATAAGTAAGGACAAACAAGAAAGCCCAAGGAAGATGCTGAGTAGGTGAACAGCTTAACAGAGGCTGGAAGACCAATTTCAGTAATTTTGAGAGGACATGTTTTGATTTAAGTATTAAAATGGCAAATATAAGTGCAAATATTAAAATGGCAAATAAAAGTGCAAAAATTCATTTGGAGCTTTTGACAAAGAAATGTAAACTGATTTGATAATTTGAGACGATCGAGGTTTAGGTTTTGCTTTTGTTTTTAGTATAGTTGAGATGGAAGTTTGTAAATATTCCTTAAGATGACAGAGGGAGGTTGGAAGAGGTTAAATGTTAAGGACAATAGGATTGCTGGGCCATGGGGGTGGGTGAGAGATGAGCAGATTAATAAATTGAAGCATTTCCTTTTCACTAACAGAAGTAAAGGTAGAGAGAATAAATAATGTGAGGAAAGGCAGGCAGTTGAGAGAGCTCAATTACAAGTCTCATAAGTAGGATACTCTGCCTGCAAGAAAGGGAGTGAAGACCTGTGGAGGGAGGTGTGGAGTCATGGTGGGGGATGACGTGCACAAAGGGCGAAGACAAGGATTGTTGACCTTTGGGAAGGATGTTTCCAGTAGTTCAATTTTAGGACTAAGAGAATAATCTCCCGCCTTCCGGAACTAATCCTTTTTGCGGCTTAAACCCCTCTGAATTCAGCAACAATATCTTCCTTGTGCTAAAAACTATATTAACAAGATTCGTGCGCATTTTTACATTCCCCTTAAAAATGAGACTGCGACTGCACTAAGAAAGGATTTGAGGCCTTGTTCACACGCTAATTGAGGGGCGGGGCGGTACGCGGGCCGTGATCACAGGCGCGGGGTCGCCCTCGCAGCGCCGCGCGCTCCGCAGCAGGTCCCGATCCGTGCCGGGGTCCGGGTACGGGCAGAATCTCGCCGCGCAGCTTCGGCGCCCTCCATCCGGGTCCCTTCCCTTCCCGGCGCGCGGCGGCTTCCAGCCGCTGCCAGGCGCCCGACGGCTCTCGGTCCGGACGCTGGGCCGTGTTGCCCGCCGAGGAGGAAGCCCCGGGTGGGTCGCCACGAGGGCGCTGTCTCCGGAGACCCTCGCCAGCGCCGAAGCCGGCGGGCTGAGGCCGTCGCGGGGTGGGCGGTGGGCCATCGTGTCCCCTCGGTCGCCGGCGCACAGGGACGCGCCGTTCAGGGCCATCTTCAAACGCGGCCGCCGGGCCTGCCTCACGCCCCGCGGTTCGGGGAGGCCTCTGCTCTCCGCGGGTCACTCCAGCCGGTGTCGGGCGCGGAGACGTCGGCCCGCTCCGCGAGCCATGCTGGGAGCCGCAGCCTCCAACGAGCGCTCCCCTCGCGAGCTTGCGCACTCCGTCAGAGCACGTCGACGCCAGGCGGGATCGAGCGTGACAGACGCTGACGTCGGCGACGCCGGGGAGCGCGGGGACGTGGGCTTTGGAGAGTGCGCAGTGGGCGCGGCGGCGGCGACCCCTCGGCCTCTCTCGGGAGGGGGCGACGCCGCGATGGGGGCGGCGGCGGCGGAAGCCGATCGGACTCTCTTTGTGGGCAACCTGGAAACTAAAGTGACCGAGGAGCTCCTTTTCGAGCTTTTCCACCAGGTGAGCGGCTGGGACCGGCCTTTTCCTTTCGTTTTCCGCCTGCGTAGGGCCGGGCCCCAGGCTCCCCGCTCCTTCCGGGCCAGTTGGGCCGTCCGGACGGGCGCCCTTCCGGCGGCCGGGAGGCCTGGGGTCGCGCCCGGCGTCGGGGGTTGTCGCCGCGTTAAAGGAACCCTAGTTAGTCCCCGCGGAAGTGAGGACCGAAGGTGGTGGGGGGATCCTCAGTAAAGCATTTCCGAGGCAAGCATTCAGGGGTCCCGGGGAGGTAATACAGTGTTGGGTGTTTTTTTTAGTTTTTTTTTTAAATCATAGTTGACAGACGATAATATATTAGTTTGAGGTGTTACAACACAGTGATTTAAGACATTTATAGAGAACAGTGTTTTTTCTGTTCCCCCTTTTCTCGTCTTTCCCTTAAGACACTGTCTTTAGTGTGTCTGACAAATTACATTTCAATTTCCTTGTCAGTCTGTCTTTTCCACTTAGTTTCTTACAAAATTGCAGCATTAAGATATTTAAAGTAGAAAAAAAAGATATTTAAGATAGTCATAAATGTTCCCTGGAAAAGTAGCCTTGTGTTGGTTCTGTATTACAATGTGTTAAAATTTTTGAAGTATCCTGTACCTACCCCCCAACCACTGTTAAGTTTGATTAAGCCATACAAACCTGAATTTCTGGTCCAAAGATAAACTGCTGATAAACATTAATTTCTATAGAGGGAATGCCGATGATGGTTGGCTACCTCCTTACAGTTGTAAAGTGCTGAGAAATGTACATTCAATGACTGTTTCTGGTTACTTAAGGGTTCCCTACCCCAAATAAATCTTCAGTAATGTATCTGTAGGATCTTTATTCTAATCAAAATGGAAATCTGTGTGTATTTGTTAGAGTTCCTGATTAATTTCTTTTGTTTTTAATCTTGTAAAATTTAAATGTTCTCCTGAAATTGCCTTATTTAAGTTGTAAACTCTTTTTTGTCTATAGGCTGGGCCAGTAATAAAAGTGAAAATTCCAAAAGACAAGGATGGTAAACCAAAGCAGTTTGCATTTGTGAATTTCAAACATGAAGTATCTGTTCCTTATGCAATGAATCTACTTAATGGAATAAAACTTTTTGGAAGGCCCATCAAAATTCAGTTTAGATCAGGTAACTCACTATTCAATTGTAGCATTAAGATATTTAAATCTGTGGTGTTTGGGGAGAGGGATTATTTGCTGCTTTGGCTTTTTAAAATTTTATTCTGTTTTAAAGAACCATGGATGAAAATACTGTAAGTTTTGTGGGTAACACTGACAACATGAATTTTGAAAGTTGTAATTTAAAAACTTAGTTTAAAATTTCAGCTTGGGTTAGTTAACAGAACATAAACTTTATTGTTAGAAAGACTTGGGTTTTGGGTCTATATTCTGAAAGAAACAAGAATTATTCTCTGAAATGCTTTTTTGTTGTTGTTGGTCCTCACTAGAGGATATTTTTTTCCAATGCTTTTCAGAGAGAGAGTGGAAAGAAGGGAGTGGGGAGAGAGAAAAACAGCCATGTGAGAGTCACATTCATTGGTTGCCTCTCTAACGAGCCTCAGTAAGGGCTCAGGAATCGAAACTCATGTCCATGTCCTTGACCCTTTCCTTTGCTGCATGGGTGACACTCTAACCACTGAGAACACCAGCCAGGTAAAAATACTTTTCCTGGTTGCTTTGTAATTTACTTTTATAAGTTTGATTCTTGATTATGTGGGAATGAAACTTTGCATGTGTCCAGTCTTACAATTTAGTGTGAGGATCAGAATATTCTGATAGAGTGGATATTTATATACCAGATATTCCCTTATTTAGGACCATTTGTTTTGGATATATCTGCTAATTTAGAATTTTCACTCTGATGAAACTAAAGCAGTCTGTTAAAATTTGAGATTTTTCTCTTTTAGCTTATGTCTACCTTTTTGAGGTGATTTGGGGTGGGAGAGACAAAATTTCCAATTAAATTTTCTATCAAGAAGAATTTCTTAAATTATTTTATTTTAGGAAGTAGCCATGCCTCACAGGATGTTAGTTTGTCATATTCCCAGCATCATGTTGGAAACTCAAGCCCTACCTCCACATCTCCTAACAGGTAATATTTCTCACCTATTGTTAAATCCTTTCTCAGACGTTTTCTTAGGTAGTAATCTCAGAATGCATAATGTTTGGTTCTCTCTTTAATGCTCCTATCTCCTTATTGTGGCTTTATTATTTGCTATGTTGGATTATAGTTATATACCCTGTTTCCCCGAAAATAAGACAGTGTCTTATATTAATTTTTTCTCCCAAAGTTTCGCTAGGTCTTATTTTCAGGGGATGTCTTATCTTTCCATGCACTAGGTCTTATTTTCGGAGGCTGTCTTATTTTCGGGGAAACACGGGTATCTATGCTAAGGGGACTGTAGATGTATATAATCCCCTTAAAACAGATATATAAAACTATTTTCACTTATAAAGACATACCCACACCCAAATATACATCTATATAACAAAATTTCACAAAATATTACTTATACTTATTACTTGCAATGTACTCAATTTACATTTTCTTTTATCTCTTAAAATTTAAATTAGTTTATACCACTAATTGGTTACTTGCAGTTTAAAAATTGGCTATTCGACTAAGAATTCATGGAATTGGATTCTAGGTCTGCCTCTACCAATTGTGTAATCTTGACTAGGCTCATTTCTCTGCTCCTTTCCTTCCATTTGTAAGGAAACAAAATTGAATTAAATTATCTCTAAAATGCCTTCCAGCTCCTGGGAGTTAAGAAAGGTATCATTTATTTGATACCTTAAATAATTTTATTAGAACATAACCACACTCTTATTTACTTAAATAATTTTATTTGCTTTGGTGAGGCAGAAATTTTACCAGGGACAGTTTTTTCACTGGTATATTCTTTACCACATTTTTTGCATTTATGATCTCCTTTATGTTTCACAATAGTCTTATGAAGTAGGGATTAGTATTATGTCTTCCTTCTATATGAAGAAAATGAGGATTGGAGGTTAACTTGTTCAAGTCTGAACTGCTCTTATATTGTGGGCTGGGAGTCAAGCCCAGCCACTCTGATGTGCTGCCTAGTGGAGCTTAAAGTCTAGATGAAGTCACATAATATATATATTTTGTGACTACCCTTTTAATTACTCAAAATTATTTCTCTAAGAAGGAAGCAGAAAGTGCTTGGAGAACCTTGTAATAAGGAAAGATTATATAAATGACTGACGACCTGAAAGAGGACAATGTACTTAGATCTAATGCATGAAGAACAGAGTAAATGACATTGGAGAAGTACATAGATGCTGGATGATACAGTCTTTCTTATAGCCTATAATTTAGATTTTTGATTTTTACCTTAAAAACCATAGGAAGACATTGAAATGTTTTTTGTAAGGTAGTTATAGGAATAGATTTTTTATTTATTTATTTTATTTTAGATTTGTATTTTAAAGAGTTACTTGGTTGCAATGGGAAAATGGATTGGAGGGACTGAGGTAAAAATAGACCTATTAGAAAGCTATTGGTAGCAAGATAGGGAAGTTCTTGGGGTGAGGCTGGAACTATAAGACAAGTTGGTGACTTGATTCCAAAGACATGTTTTAAAATACAGTTAATTTAAGTGAGATTTTTCTATAGAGCAAGTTATTTCTTCAGGAAGTGAGGAATAAAGTATAAGTCCTTAAATTTCTTACTTCTGAAAACCTGTTGCGCTCTCCTGTTTCAGTATGTCTGCTTAATTGCTTAAATCTCTAGATTTTTAAATGTTATTTTCTTCTGTTTCTCTCATCTGTCATACCTAATTAATCAAATCTGTTTCTTTTGTTGTTGTTGTTAATCCTCACCTGAGGATATTTTTTGCATTGGGGCGGGGGGTGAGAGAGGAGAGGAAGAAACATAAATGTGAGATTCATCGATTGGTTGCCTCCCACGGGCACCCTGACCAGGGACAGGGATCAAACCGCAACCCTTCAGTTTCAAGGCTGGTGATCTAACCACCGACCCACACTAGCCAAGGCACCATCAGACCTTTTACATTTTAGTTCTTTGTCTAGGCCTTTCCACTAATCCAGGGATTGACTTTTTTTTTTTTCTTTCCTATAAAAGTGCAGATAGTTAATATTTTAGACTTTGCAGGTCATACAATTTCTTGCTTTGCCATGTAGCAATCCATAGAAAATATGAAAACAAGAGTGTGGTTATGTTCTAATAAAACTGCAACAAATGATTTGGTAACGGGCTACCCTACTACACCTTCCCTCAGCTGGAATGTTCTTCCAGGTAACCTTGTAATTCAGCTCTCACTTCAAAGGCTATCCTTGACAAGCTAAGCAAAAATAGAATCCTCTCTCTCATCTCTACTTTCTCTTTAGTCATTAAGCATATCACAACTATGTGGAGCTTTCTTATTGTCTGAATCCTTACCCCAGCTACATGAGAGCAAATAACCTTGTCTTGTTCATTCCTTTGAGAGCTGTGTCTGCTCATGATTGTTATGTAGTAAATTCTTGTTGAATGAATGATTATATGTTGTTTTATTATTTTTTTGCAGACATGAAAGGACTATGGATAACATGACTCCATCACAACAGATAATTCAGAGATCTTTCTCTTCACCAGAAAATTTTCAGAAACAAGCAGTGGTAGGCTGATTTTTCTACTTATTACTTAAAAAAAAAAATACTTAAAATTTCAGATGATCCTTTTTTTTAATGAATTTTTTGGGGGTGACATATGTTAATAAAATTATATAGGTTTCAGGAAAAAAGTTCTATAAACCATCATCTGTATATTGTATTTTGTGTTCACCACCCCAAGTCAAGTCTTCTTCCATCAGTTTTATCCCCCTTTACTCTCCTCTCTTCTACCTCCCATCATCCCCCTTTTCATCTCATAATTGTCATACTGTTGTCTGTGCCTTTGAGTTTGTTTGTTTTCTTTGCTTAGTAATTCCTTTATCCTTTTCACCCAACATCGCAATTCCCCTCCCCTCTGACAGCTATCATTCTGATTTTTGTCTCTGATTCTGTTTTGTGTGGTAGTTTATTTTGTTAATTAGATTCCACATAAAAGTGAAGTCATATGGTACTTGTCTTTCTCACACTGGCTTATTTCACTTTCCATAATACTCTCTGGGTCCATCCATGCTGTCACAAAGGGTAAGATTTCCTTCTTTGTTACGTTTGAGTAGTGTTCCATTGTATAAAATGTATCACAGGTTGTTTTATCCACTCATCTAATGATGGGCACTTGGGCTGGTTCCAAATCTTGGCTATTGTAAATGACGCTTCAGTGAACCTTTGAGTGCATCTATTTTTCCGAGTTACTATTTCGTGTTTCTTTAGATATATTCTCAGAAGTGGAATTGCTGGATAGAAGAGTTCCATTTTTACTTTTTTGAGGTAACTCCATACTATTTTTACACAGTGGCTGCACCAGTCTGCATTCCCACCAGCAGTGCACAATGGTTCTCTTTTCTCCACATCCTTTCCAATTCTTGTTTGTTGATTGATAGTAGCCATTCTGGCACATATAGAGTTTGGATTACTGCTTCAATTTCATTAGTTGTAATCTCTCTATCAGATTTCTGATTATTCTGGATTCAGTTTTGGAAGATTGTATATTTCTAGGAATTTATTCCATCCTGACTATCCAGTTTGTTGGCATACGGTTGTTTATAATATTTTCTTACAATCCTTTGTATTGTAAGTTGTTAGTTGTTCTATCTTTCCTGATTTTATTTGGATCCTCTGTTTTCTTGATGAATCTAGGTAAAGGTTTGTCAATCTTGTTTGTCTTTTCAAAAAATCAGCTCTTGGTTTCATTGATCTTTTGATTGTTCTTTTTTAAACTCTTTTTCTTCTCATTTTGGCTTTGTTGTTATTTTTCCATTCCTTTAAGTATAGAATTAAGTTGTTTGAGATTTTTCTCGTTTCTTAAAGTAGGCCTGAAATACTATGGCTGCTTTCATTGTGTCCCATAGATTTGGGGTTGTGTTCTCATTTTCATTTGTTTCAAGGTATCTTGATTTCTTCCCTGATCAGGAATCAAACCATGACCTCCTAATCGCACATGTTAGTTTTCACTGACCTGAAATATATATTTAAGGATTGAGATAGAGTTGAATTTTACATTTTTATTTTTCTTCACAGTTGGTGTGTGAATTTCAAATACTCGAAATTCATTCTTGTTCTTGCAACCCTATGCTGAGTGACTTTTTAAAATCATATACTCTCTTTAATACTGAATATCAATACTTCAATTAATATACTAAAGCACATGTGTCAGACACAAGGCCCGCGGGCCAAATCCGTCCCGCCAGGCCTTGCAATGTGGCCCGCACCGCGCTGTCATCACTGCACTCCGCTGCGTTTCCATCACAATGACAGTTTATGACTGTTCAGTAAACCATTCGGCCCGCGATTTAGGCTGGATTTTAGATTTTGGCCCCTTCTCTGATTGAGTTCGACACCCCTATACTAAAGTCTTCTAAACTAGCTGCCCCTTGAATGTTCCCCTTTTTTTTCTGTAAAATCTCCATGAGATGTTTCATTTTTGTTTCCTTTCAGTTGCCAACTTCTTTTCTTTTTTTCTTTTTCTTTACACTCATTTCTTTTTATTTTCTTTGCCCAAATCACAGTTTTGGCTTGTTGTCCCTACCCTTTTGAATTTAATAGGTTATAAAATATAATGGTGAAATAAAGTAAAATTTTGAGTCCAATATAAAGGGATTAACTTTTATATACCTTTTATATGTCTCACTTTGTTGTAGGCCATTAAAGAAAATCATATTTGGCCAATGTCTATTTCACACATAGAATTTGGGAACCACTTGCCTAGGCAGTTAGTACTTGTCTCCATTTTATTCTCAGTAGTCCATCTCACACACTGTTTCAAATTTAATATAATTCTGCTTTGCTTATCATCCTGGTGATGTGACTTTTCAATGTTTACAGATAAAATCAGAATTTTCTAGCCAACTTATTAGCACTTCATCTTGTAATTCAAATAAATCTTTCTAGCCTTGCTGTCCATTTACTGGTTAGGAGATCTTTAATGTGTTTCAGTCAATTTATTTGCTATTCTGTTAACCCATTCAGTGTTTAATTGTTTTGTGTTTTTCTGTTTGTTTGTGCAGTTTTCTTTCCTTGGTATACTTACCTCCTTAAAATATTTTTCTAAAAATAGCCCATTCATGCTTTTGATACCTAAATCAGATGCCACCTTTCTGAAGTCTTTCCTAATAATATTGAGCTCATGACTCTTTATATGTTCATCACAGTGATCCATATTACAGTCGTTTTGTAGGATTTCTTCCCTTCTAAGTCGTCTCCGTGAGGGCAAGGAGTGTTAGTTATGTACAAATATCCTGTAGCTGAACAGTGGAGTGAAGAAGCTATTGCATTGTACTACTTTTAGTTATATTTAAATTAAGATCCATTTAGGCAAGAGTGATTTTGCTTTTCTATTATTAGTTTGGTTAACTGTGACTAACTCACCATTGGCTTTGATATGTAGAAATGTTTGCAATTAAGATTTCCTTCTTTTTGTCTTACTTCAGATGAACAACGTTTTGAGACAGATGCCATATGGCGGGAAATTTGGTTCTCCGCATTTTGATCAGTCAGGATTTTCCCCATCAGTTCAGTCACATAATCATAGTTATAACCAGTCTTCAAGCTCCCAGTGGCGTCAAGATACACCAGCATCACTGCGTAAAACCAGGCAGAGTTCTCATCCCTACATAGTAGACAGACACTATAGTCGTGAACAGCATTACAGAGGACACAGAGATGATTACTTCTATGAAGACAGGAATCGCGATGGCTGGAGCCATGACCACGATAACAGAAGAGACAGCAGTAGAGCTGGAAAGTGGCATTAATCTCAAAACTAACAAGTGTCCAAAGGATCATCCTAGGCCCTTTGGACTAAGTTGGTCTGGAATGTTTTGTTAAAACTGGACAAAGCAGTTTTATAAGTTGCCACGTTTCTTGATAAATTTTTTAAAACATTGCTATAGTCTGATACAGAAATGAGAAGACTTATGATTACAGTTTTTATTGATAACCTTTCACCTCAGGGCTTCATGAAGAGGAAAGGGTTTTATGCAAAAGAAAGTTCCACAATTCCTAATTGTTTTAGAAATTGAGGAAAGCACATGTTGTATGTATTGGTTGTATCATAAAGCAAATATTTTAATGATCTATTACCTATTGTATTGCAAGAACCTGCTTATTAGTGAATCACATTTAGTGTATATGATAGAAAACATTCAAGTTGGTAGTCTAAAATACGGTAGTATTTTGTTAACAAATGAGAAAATGTAATTTCAGTGATTTGTTTTTCTAACATTTGAGAAAGATTATTGGTAAAGTTTGTGAATAATCATATTGTTTAACTTCATGGAGAATGTAAATGTAAGTTCTGTGACATGCTCTTTGAGTTTTCCCTAATTGGATATCAAGTGTAAATCTACACTTCCTATTTCATTCTAAAATATTAGAATTTTCTCATTAAATCATGTTTGACTAAATAACTGAAGTCACTCAGGAAGTTAAATATCTCTAAATGTATTTTTTTAAATTAAAAATTCAGTATTAGTATAAATTCTCCTTTTTAGGAAGAACAAAAATGCACATGCAGAGTCAGATAAAAGGATTTACTGAAAGTATGCTTGTTTGGGAAAAGGTTCATAAAGCCTTTAAGTGCTGCCTCTATTACTCAAACTTTAAAAATTTACAACTTTTTAAAGTGCCCAGGGTATGTGTGCAAGGACACATATTATTATATGGATTGTACATGTTGTCTTTTATGTTTGAACATTTGAAAGAGTTAAGTCTTAACACATTCTGATTTTTAAAATTTTAAATCCTGTTAAAACTTTTATGTATCAAGATGTTTCCCTTTAATTGTAGAACTTGTTTATACAAATTCACTCCTTGCTATATTTGGATCCTTTTTAATAACTAGCATTTTTGTACTGCTACTTTTTAATATATTGAAAACGTAAAAAGGGGTATGTGTCTTCTTTTAAAAAATATTTTTATTGATTTTTAGAGGAAGGGAGAGAGAGGAACATTGATGAGAGCAGAACACGGATTGGTGGCCTCCTGCATGCTTCCTGACTGGGGCTTGGACCCTAAACACAGTCATGTCCTGACCTGGAATCAAATTAGCAACCGTTCCACGGACAGGACAACACCTAACTGAGCCACGCCTGCCAGGACTCTTCTCTCTCTCTCTCTCTCTTTTTTTTTTTAATGTCACTATAGAGACATTGTACACAAAAAGTTAGCAACATACTTTTTATTCAGTGATTGGTGGTAAAAATATGAGTTCATCTGGCTGGTATGGCTCAGTGCTTGAGCGTGGACCCATGAATCAAGAGGTCACTGGTTCGATTCCCAGTCAGGGCATGTGCCAGGATGGTGTGCTTGATCCCCAAAAGAATCATGCAGGAGGCAGCTGACGGACGTTTCTATCTTTCTGTCCCTCTCCCTTGTTTCTGTCTCTATCCCTCTTCTTTCCTCTCTCTTTAAAATAAACATGAAATTAAAAATATCAGTTTTTCAAGCATCTTAAAAATAAACATTTGTACATATTGAACCTAATATTTAGAGTCAGACTTCCAGTGACACTTGGATTATTGTTCCAAGTACTATTCTTGATGTGCATTCAAGATTCCTTTTTTTAAATGCATGCCTTTTTCTGTCTAGGTACATGGTGCTACTCAACCATTCAGCATGAAGAGCATTAAGATCAAATTTTTCATCAAGCAATTTAATAGAAGGATTTGTTTCCAATAAACTTATTTTCAAGTGTCATGATAATTCAGTAGTATTTGTAGATATTATCAAAGGGTAATACTGCTCTATTGCCACTTACCTGTGGGTCAGGCTCTTTCATATTGATTCATAGGTGATCCTGATTCAGAATAATCTTCTACCAGGGCCTTTTGGGGCACACCTGTGAGGTTCCAGTCAGTCTTTTTCACTTTGATGACACCTCATTGAAAGTAACTAAACTGTGTAAAGGGATAGAACAAGACATTTCTGAAGAGTTGAGTCTAGTTGGTGGACAATTTACATAGGGGTTGAGAGCTATAGGAGTAAGGAGATTGCAGGAGAGCAGCTTCTCCAGAGTGTTCCATGAAATTTTACATGTTCTGTGAAATGAGGGTTCTGTAATCAAATGATTGGCAAATGTACTACTACTGACTTTCTGTTAGAGAACGATAAAGAACAGCACCATAAAGCTGCTGACTAGCACCCCAGAAATCTGTTTAAGTCCTAGCCTGTTTGGTTCAGTGGATAGAGTTGGCCCGTGGACTGAAAGGTCCCAGGTTCGATTCTGGTCAAGGACACATACTTCAGTTGCAGGTTCTATCCCTGGCCCTGGTTGGGGCTCATATGGGAGGCAATCAGTTGTGTCTCACATCGATGTTTCTCTGTCTCTCCCACTTCCTTCTGCTCTCAGAATCTATGGAAAAGTATCCTCGGGTGAGGATTAACCAAAAAAGAAATCTGTTTATACTTATCCTTGTATTTTCCAAATTTGCTTGACCCTTTTTTTATCTTTATGCATAACTAGAGGACTGATGCATGAAGTTTGTGCCCTGGCTTCGTCTAGGAAGTCATCTGGACAGTCATTCTGCTGTTTGGTCTAATTAGCATATTAGCACTTTATTATATAGGATGTATATTAAGGCACCCCTCCCGCCCCCCAAAGAATGACTCTACCCTTCTCCATCCAATCAACCATAAACTTTATACCACTTTCTAGTTATGTTGTAAGGCCCATGTTCCTTTTACCAACTGCCACCATCTTAGACTGGGCACTCCTCACAACAGGTTATTCCCACAGTACCCTAATATTTAAGTACCAGTTTATGTATTTTGTTCTCTATTTCTCTTTAATAGCCTTTATTCTGTATTTTCATTTTCTTTTTATTTGTGTATCTAAGCTGCATGAAAGCAGAGACCATATTTTATTCACTACTGAAAATTTGCAGTATCTAGTGCCTGGCATAAATATACTTGGCAAATTTTTCTCTTCTTATTTATTTATTATTTTTTGTTAATCCTCACCAGATGATATTTTTTCCATTGAGTTTTAGAGAGAGGGGAAGGAAGGGAGAGGGGACACAGAGAGAGAAACATTGGTTAGTTGCTTCCCATATGGGCCCCAACTGGGGCTGGGACTTGAATCTGAAACGCAGGCATGTACCCTTAACTGGAAATCAAACCTGAGACCCTTAAGTCCATGGGCTGATGCTCTAACCACTGAGAAACATTGGCCAGGCACATTTTTTATTTTAGTCCTCACCCAAGGATATGTTTTTCTTGATTTTAGGGACAGAGAAACATCTCTGTGAGAAAGAAACACCGATCAGTTGCCTCCGTACCTCAGATGGGGATGGAACCTGTACCTAGATATGTAACCTGACTGGGAAACCTGCAATCTTTTGGAGTATGGGACGCCACTCCAACCAACTGAGCCACCCAGACAGGGCCACTTTGTACATATTTGATGAATGGATGAAGGAACATTTACCAAATAATTGAATTTAAAAAGAAGGCTTCAACATAGAAAATGTTTTAAAAATAGATTTGCTAACCTTGAACCATTTTTCCATTAATAAAACTATGTATCTCAATATATTGTGCATTTAATTCACTATAGAAATCTATTTGGTTTTAAAATTTTTAAGAAGTTTTTGATCTGTATTCATTAGGCTTTAAAAAATGTTTAATTTATTTCTGGAATTATGGTTCTGCTAGTTTTATAGAGCAAGTTGATAAATTTATCTTTTACAGTGTCTTGGGGAAAATTTGAGTAATACAGAAATTCTCTGTTTCTAGAAGACTTAAGTTCATTTATATACCTACTAGAGGCCTGGCCTGTGGGATCGGGCCAAAACTGACTCTCAAACCACCCCTGCCCTGAGGGGTCCCAGTTTGTGAGAGGGTGCAGGCCAGGCCAAAGGTCCCCACCAGTACATGATTGGGACTGGGGAGGGATGCAGGAGTTTGGCCAACCATGGAGGGACCACAGGAGGGCTCCAGGGCATGTCTGGCCCATCTTGCTCAGTCCTGATTGGCTGGATCCCAGCAGCAAGCTCACCTACCAGTCAGAGAATCTTCCCCTGGTGGTCAGTGTGTGTCATAGTGAGTAATTGAATGGCTTTAGCATATCATTAGCATATTAGCTTTGATTGGTTGAATGGATGACCAGATGACTGGACACTTAGCATATTAGGTTTGGGGTCTTAGAAGTAACTCTTTCATTCCCTTCTCAATTTCCTTATGGCTATTCTATTCATGTTTTATACTTTCTTAGAAGTCAATGTGGATACCTTACATCCTTCAAAAAAAATCAACCATTTTTTTTGTATCTTTCCACATTGTGTTGTATGTAGTATTTCTTATAATTTTTGTAAGACTGTCTCTAATGATAGCTTAGTTTTAGTTTCTGATGTATTTTGCCTTCCCTCCTACACCCAGATTTGTTAGTGGCTGTGCTATTTATACATTTTATATTTACATATGTATAACCTTCACTCTGCATTGTTGTTAAAAACAGATTTTCTTTTAAGGAGATTTAAATAAGAGAAAACCCTACATATTTTTCCAATAGTGGTCATTTCTGTAGCTCTTTTTTCCTTTGTGTAGATCCATTTATCCATCTGGTATTCTGCTAGAAGAACTTGATTTTTTTTTTCAATATATATATAGTGCAGGCTTGCTGGTGATAAATTATTTTGTATGTCTGAAAAAGTCTTTTTCACCTTTTAAAAATACATATTTTATAGAGAAACCAAGATGGCGGCATAGGTAAACACCTAACTGCAGCCTCACACAACAATTTCCAAAAAAATCAACTAAAATACAAAATGGACATTACCCAGAACTACAGGAAAGTCGACTGACTAGAAATTCTACAACGAGAAGGAAAATCAGAGGAGCTGTAAAAGCCCAAGGTACAGAGACACCGTGTGCGCGGGGAGAGGACGGAGCCGGAGAGGAGGAGAGGCTGAGTGCCTGGCTGGCGTTCCCTAGCGGGAAGGAGATAAAAGCTCCAGATGTGCTGAGCCCTAGTTCCAACAGCACTGAACCCCAGTTCTGGGCAAGACCCTGGGGACCCAAACACATAAGGAGGGAGTCTGGGCTGAAACTCAGAGGAGCGGCAAAAGGCAGTCCTGGAGGTGCGAACATTACGAGCAGAGGACAGACCGTTGACTCGGCTGCTAGATTGCCCTAGCGGGAAGGAGACAAAAACTCCAGACTGTGCTGAGCCCCAGTTCTAGGCCAGACCCTGGGGACCCAGGCTCATACGAAGGGAGCCTGGGCTGTAAGGCGGAAACCCAAGGAAGCGGTGAAAGGAAGTCCAGGAGGCGCGCACATTGTGCTCAGAGAACTGACAGTTGACTGAGCCGCTGGATTGCCCTAGCGGTTAGGAGACATAAGCTCCAGACTGCTCTGAACCTCACTTCCAACTGAACTGAACCCCAGTTCCAGACTCATTGGGGGAGAACCTAGACTATTTGGTAGCATGCGAAACTCGAGGGCACCTTACTCTCAGAGGTGCTTGCAATGAGTACTGAAGGACCATGAGGAATACTGAGACTCAGGAGCCTCATAGGGCCTGGTTGATGGAAGCCAAGGCTGTAGGCTCCACCCTGAAACTCCACCCCACCCAAGCTAAACACAGAAACTTTTAAGGCTACCAACTCAGGGAAGCTGCAAAAATGCCAAGATAAGGAAACAGATCACAAACGAAAGAAATGGAGGACAAAAAGCGACTGGATATAGAGTTCAAAACCACGCTTATAAGGTTTTTCAAGAATTTCCTAGAAAAGGCCAATAAAAAATGACCTATGAGGATATGAGAAGGGATCAACTAGAAATAAAGAATACATTGTCTGAAATAAAAAATATTATACAGAGTCCTAAAAACAGAATGGAAGATTGCAAGAACCAAGTCAAAGATTTGGAACGTAAAGAGCCAGAAGACACTCCTCCACAGAAGCAAGAAGACAAGAGAATCCAGAAAGTTGAAGATAATGTAAGAAACCTCTGGGACAACTTCAATCCAACCAACATCAGAATTATGTGGGTCCCAGAAGATGAAAGAGAGCAAGAAACTGAAAACATATTGAAAGAAATAGTGACAGAAAACTTTCCCCACCTGGTGAAAGAAATAGACTTACAAGTTCAGGAAATGCACAGAACCCCAAACAAAAGGAATCCAAAGAGGACCACACCAAGACACATCATAATTAAAA